ACACAAGCATTGAGCTGACAGGAGTAGTGATGGTGCTCTCACTACTCCTGTCAGCATTGGTGCCCTTCTCATGTGGAGTCTGGGACACATGCCCCCCACAGTTTTGCCTTGCTGGCTGCCAACCAGCATCTTAACATTTATAGCCCAAAGGATCTGTACACATGCTGTGTCAGTGGCATTTTTATCTCTGCAGATTTTGACAAGATGGCACCACTTGTCGAACTCACTGATTGAGATCAATGGGGCTGCAGTGCAAAACGCATGGCTTGCGTTGCAGCTCGGTCGTGCAATGTAAAAGTGCATCAGTAGCACCTCCTGAACACTTGTAGCTGCTGCTATACTTCCCATTTAAAAGTGATCCATCACAAATCGCTTTTCAGATGTCCGTAAGCATTACCACTAATCTGAAAGAGCCCTTCTACCCACTACCAATACTCATAATCTATATTTCTTATCATAAACACAAAAAAATTGATGGTACAATATTTTTGCTACAAACTATTTAAAACCTAACCATGAGCCATAGATAAGTGGCCTTTCTCTGTAATTATTGTTTTGGAAGTCTTGGTAACATACAATAAGTAAAATCATTTGCTTTGGGTTCTCTGTAGGGATTAACGTGTGAATCCTCCATTCCCTTTATGAAAACAGATTTTTAGTTTTGTTTCTTCTTTCCTTTTTCCCAAAATGGTGTCATCTGCTCTAGGAGACGAGCTGAGCTCCTTCATCTGCCTGAACCTTTATATGGAACCGGAGCCATTGAGATGTGGTCACAACTTCTGCCGAGATTGCATTGTGACTGCTCTGGATACACAGGAGGGGTTTGGAGTTTATTCCTGTCCAGATTGCAGAGAGGAGTATATAGGATATCCTTACTTTGAAGAAGAAAATGAGCTGTGTAACATTGTGGACAACTTCACATCTACACAACAAAAGGAGGAGAAAAGTGAGATCCTCTGTACGTATTGTGTGGATTCTCCAGTGGCAGCTGTCAAGACTTGTCTACATTGTGAGACGTCTATGTGTGATAAACACCTGACAGCCCACAACAAGACAGTGGACCATGTGCTGATAGAACCCACCTCGTCCTTCAGCAAAAGAAAATGCTCCATCCACAAGGAGCTTCTGAAGTATTACTGCTCCAAGATGCCCTCTGCCTATGTGTGTCCTGCTGTCTGGTGGGGAAACATGAAGGACACGATGTGCAACTTCTAGAGGAGGCTTTGAAGAAGAAGAAGAAGGAGAAACTGAGACATGTTCTAGAAAAGATGACTATGAAAAGAGAGGCAACTGAGCAGAAAATTCTAAATCTACAGAATGAAAATGGAAAAGTACAACAAAAAGCAGACAATGAGAAGAAGAGAGTCTCTTCCCTGTTTGAGGATATCAGGAGACAGCTGGAGCTCCGGGAACAGAGAGTCCTGAGTGAGATCACCAGGCAGGTAGAGGAGGTCTCATTATCTGTCATTGATCTCATCAAACAGATGGAGATACCGAAGGATGAGTTGTCCAGGAAAATCGGTCACGTCAAGAAGTTGTGTAACATGACGGACCCAATAACTGTCCTACAAGATCGGGAATTGGACACAGGAGACCATAATATGGAGGAATCTTCTGTTTTGATCTGGATGTTTTTGTCATCTCTCTTCTGTTGCACAGATCTATAATTGATCTTCTCACTAATATGCAATTAAAAACCAATCCCGATATACAGGATGCAACCAGTCTGCTGTTGGATGAAAAAAAACGGCCAATAGATTTGTGGTTATGTCCAATGACTTGAGAATAGCATCCCACTCTGAAATACCAATGATTAGACCAAAACTACCATAGAGATGTTCACGGTACAGTCAGGTGATGAGTATGGAGAGTTTTTCCCATGGGAGACATTACTGGGAAGTGGAGGTTGGTGACTGTGGGGATTGGGATGTGGGGGTTGGCTATCCCAGTATAAAGAGAGCTGGAGGTGTGTCTGGTATGGGGTGTAATAACAAGTCCTGGAGTTTTGGCATAGCTGAAAAGAAATATTCATGTAAACATTTTCCAAATTACAGGAGTTAGGCCTGGAGTCTCCAGTGCAGAGATTGGGATTATATCTGGATTATGAAGGTGGCCGTCTGTCCTTCTACCAGCTGAATGACCTCATCAGACACCTCCACACCTTCACCGAACCCCTCCATGCCGCCTTCTATCTGAGTAAGGGAGCCTGGGTAAAGCTCCTATCTCTGGTGTTTTCTGTAAAACCATAATTTACAACATAATTTTTGCTTTTCTAAAGTTGTGTCATCAATTCAAAAAGTAAAAAAAGTCAAATCATCTTGGACATAGTTACAGCTAGGTCAGGTAAAGGGGAGCACTAAGGATAGAAGATAATAGGTGACACTACGTGCGTTGCTTTATAGCAGTGTTTCTCAATTCCAGTCCTCATGGACCCCCAACAGGTCATGTTTTCAGGATTTCCCTCAGATGAAACAGCTGTGGTAATTACTACCAGGCAGTGAAACTGATCAAATCACCTGTGCAAAATAATGGAAATCCTGAAAACATGACCTGTTGGGCATCCATGAGGACTGGAATTGAGAAACACTGCTTTATAGTAACAAACGATAACGGCACTAAGTGAGCAAATCAAAAACGGGGTTTGCTGCAACCACTCACCAAGTGTACTCTCACTCCCAAAAAATTATAGATTTGTGAACTATATACATACCAGGCGCTCTAATAACGGTGATAGCATTAGCTGTGTAAAGTCGCATTAAAAATTTGAGTTTTTTTAGCATTTAGCCATTTTTAGCTTTTTTTTTTTTCCACAAAAAAAAAAATTTTGCTTAAAAAAAAAATGCCCAAAATTGACAGTTTGATGCATTTAACCATTTTTTCAGTGTTAGAGCATTTTTACAGCTAAAAAAATCTCCTCTAGAAACCCATTATTTCTGGGGTTTTATTTTCCAGCCAAAAAACATTGATTACAGTCTGTGTGTCTATGGAAACAGGAGAACACGCTGGGGGTTTACTGGCTGTAGAAAAAAATGTCAAAAGCCAAAAACAGCCGCTGTAAAAATATCTCGTGTATAGGAGGACTTAACCTCCCTAGCAGTCTGATTATGTCCATATTCCTGTCCTCAAAGCAGTATATTTTTTTGCATGGAAATATGTAATTTTTTTTATTGTAGGCCTGTAATTTCAGGAATAACTCACTGAAATCTGTCCGAACAAGAGTCTAGTAAACATCCCGGGTATGATACAATTTAAAACATGAAATCATAAATTATAATTTAAGAAATAATCATAAAAAATAATAAAATAATAATAAATTTAATTCAATAATATAATCAAACCACAAATACTGAAATTTGAAATATAACGCCAAGTTCCTACATCGCTGAGCTCAGTCGCAGAATCATTTTCAGTGTCTGATGATGAATTTCCCCCACGAATCATTATCACTCGACTCGACTACTGCAACTCCCTCCTCACTGGCCTGCCTCGCCGCTGGCTATCCCCGCTTCAGTCGATCCTGAATACGGCTGCCAGACTCATTCACCTTTCCAACCGCTCCGTCTCCGCCGCCCCCCTCTGCGAATCCCTCCACTGGCCTCCACCCCCCTCTGCCAATCCCTCCACTGGCTTCCGATTGCGCAACGGATCAAATTCAAAATCCTAACGCTGACGTACAAAGCCGTCCACCATACTGCCCCGAACTACATCACCGACCTAATATCCAAGTACCGCCCAGCACGCACACTCCGCTCCTCACACAGACCTCCTTCTCTCTAGTTCCCTGGTCTCCTCCTCCCATGCCCACCTCCAGGACTTCTCCAGGGTGTCACCCATCCTCTGGAACTCCCTGCCCCAACCCATCAGATTATCACCTACTCTCCTCACCTTTAGGCGCACCCTGAAAACCCATCTCTTCAGGGAAGCCTACCCCTACCCCCTGCTAACTTGCCGACCTCCTCCACTCTTCCTACCACTCCATCCCCACAGCTATCTCCTCCTGTACCACCACCCCCTCCCTCCTAGATTGTAAGCTCCAAAGAGCAGGGCCCTCGATCCCCTCATGTTCTGCATTGTATTGTTATTGTTCTGTCACATGTTCTGTCCCCCTTTTGTATTGTACAGCGCTGAGCGAACTATTGGCGCTTTATAAATACTGTATAATAATAATAATAATAATCACTCAATTCTGCAAGTGGTTCTGATTTACTATCGCTGTTCTCTAGCCGGTCTAAAACCACTTTTGACCTAAAGGGACGCTTTTTGGACGCCATGGACATTTCTCAGTTTCCAGGCAGAAAGAACAGTAAAAATGCAGGCAGGGCGCCGGACAAAGCACTCGGGACACAATGTATGTGAAATGGGTTGATACAGGAATGTTATACTATGTGATTTTAGTGAATGTCACTTTTTGTCATTTTCAAATTTCCCGCCAGTTCCGTCCCCCGTACGTCCCGACGTCGCAGGGAACGGAACCCGGAAGACAGATGCCGGCATGGGCCGGAGGAGATGGCCGGGGACACTGCAGGGGGAACATCGCGGGAGCGCAGGACAAGGTACGTGATCAAGGGATCCCGGAGCAGCGCCGCATGGTAAGCCCGAGTGTAGCTTGGGGTTACCGCTTGTGGTGCTGAAACTTTACCCCGAGCTACACTCAGGAATACCGCCAGGGAGGCTACTGCGGTGTGCTAACTCCTCAGAAATCATAAAAAAAAAAAAACAAAAAACATAAGTCCACAAATACAGTCTGTGAGAAATAGTGATCCAGTCCCAATTTAAATGTCCTGATAAGGTGTTTTTTTTAACCTCTTCACGCCTAAGGATAAAACAAATCTGAACGCTTAAGCACAATTTTGCAACTTTGACACGTGTTAGCAAAACCGGACATATCACAATGACTTTGTACAGCGTGAGTATGGCGGCACGCACACGCACCCTCTAGGGTCGCCACCTCATCCCTTTAACCACTTCCCGACCGGCCCGTTGTATATAAACGGCCGGACGGTGGCACTGCAGGGTTGGGTGGCCGTCTATAAACGGCCTCCCCGCACCCTGCTTGTGCGCGCTCCCTGGGAGCGCGCAGCACCGCGATCCGGTGCCCGCTGTGTCCTCCGGACACAGTGAAACACCAATCGTCGGACGGGACCTCTGTACGAGGTCCCGATCATGTGATCACTGATTGGCCAATCAGGATCACATGCAAAGTAGTAAGCAAGATGTCACTTCTGACATCATTGCTTACTATGTGTGAAATCTGTGAATGATCACAGAGGTCACATGGTACAAGGCTATTCACAAAAGCCTTGTACCATGTGACAAGCTGTGACCAATCACAGCTCACTCAGTTCTTCTCAATGACTGCAAGAATGCACACAGAGAGAAAGAGAAATGATTGCTTTTACATCCTATATGGGTGTAAAAGCAATCAGTGTAAAAAAAAAAAAAAAATCTTCATCACCCCTCACAAGTAGTAAAGTGTCACCATGGTGACACTGTACTGCTAGGGTGACAGTATGTAAAAAAAAAATAAATAAATAAAAAATAATAATATAAAAAAATAAAATAAAAATGTAAAAAAAAAGTTTAAAAATTATAATTTTTGCTTATAAACTAATTTGGATTTTTTTTTTTTTACTAAAAAGATAACGGAATAAATTTTGGCTAAGATTTATGATGAAATATTATTTATTTGCAAAATTTTATAAAAAAAAAACACTTTTTTTCAAAATTTTTGGACATTTCATTTACATAGCAAAAAAAATACAAATCCCAGTGGTGAATAAATACCACCAAAATAAAGCTTGATCTATCTAAAAAAAATGGTAAAAAATTCATTTGGGTACAGTGTTGCATGACCGCGCAATTGTCATTCAAAGTGTGATAGCGCTAAAAGCTGAAAATTGCCCTGGTCAGGAAGGGGGTAAAAGTGTCCGGTCTGGAAGTGGTTAAACCCGAACACATATTAATGACACGGGTTCTGGGGCTGATTGAATGCAGATATGGCACTAAGTTCTGGGAGGGTATCATATGATGTCCTTCCAGAACGCGCCCTCCCACGTGCCCCTGGCGATCTCCATGTACTACGGACACAGCTGATCACGCGATGTGGTAAAAGGATAATCACAGCGGTCTTTTACCACGTGATTAGCCGTGTCCAATGACACACTGATCACCGGGACATGCAGTTGCTGGTTATTGGCTGCACTTTCCTCGTGCTTGGGATCAGCACTGATGATCAGTGCCCAGCAGTGCCACCCACCAGTGCTGCCCACCTGTGCCCATCAGTGCCATCCACCTGTGCCCAGCTGTGCCGCCCATCATTGCCCAGCAGTGCTGCCAGTCAGTGCCACCCATCAGTGCCTATCATTGTTGCATATCAGTGCTCATCAGTGCCACCTCATCAGTGCCTATCAGTGCCCGTCAGTGCTGCCTATCAGTGCAGTCTCATCAACGCACAACAGTGAAGGAGAAAAATTAACTGTTTGCAAAATTTTATCATTAAAAACAAAGAAAAACCTCTTTCTTTTTCAATATTTATTCTCTTTTTTTTGTTTATAGCGCAAAAAATAAAACACCCAGTGGTGAGTAAATACCACCAAAAGAAAGCTCTATTTGTGTGAAAAAAAGTATAAAAATGTCATATGGGTGCAGTGCTGCATCACCACGCAATTGTCATTCAAAGTGTGACAGCGCTGAAAGCTGAAAATTGGCCTGGGCGGGAAGGGGGTATAAGTGCCCTGTAGGCGAGGGGTTAATCAGCCACAGAATATGTCATTGATATGTGTTTGGGGTTTAAAGGGATGAAGTGGCAATATTAGTGCCCTCTACCCAGAAGTGTAAAAGCACATATTTATATGTGATTTTGCACAGCGCGGCTGCCCTGTATCAGTATATCTACTATAGGGCGGTCCTTAACCCCTTCACGCCTAATGGTAAAACAAATCTTAAAGCCTAAGTAAAATTTTACAACTTTGACGTGTGTTAGCAAAACCGCACATATCATCACAACTACTTTGTGTATTCAGGTGGATTGTACCGTGGCTTTTTTTTCAGGACAAATAGGCCTTTCATTTGGTGGTAAATGGTAATGAATATCTCCTGATTTTTTTTTTTTTTTATTATTAGCAAAAAAAATAGTACAAAAATTTTTTTTTTTTAAATTTAGCTGTTTGTTTTTTGTTACTACCATAATCGACCACCAAAGAACAACCCAAAATAAATTCTCCAGCTCTTGATGATCGCGGCGATACCATATATGTGAATGTTATTTGTTGTTTGTACCCGGAGTACAGCCGAGAAATAATAGTGCGCATTTTGTTTTTTGTTTTTCCTAAAACACACTGACACTAACTGACACTGATACCAATTAAAAAAAAAAAAAAAAATCCTGACCTTTGACCTTGACCCAAACACTAACCCTGGCACTGATCCAGATCAAACCTTGATCTAGGTATTCCCTGCTGACAGTTGAACGTAAACATAACGTTGCTGGCAATTACAAATTCAGGGGAAAAAAAACACTGTGGGACACCCCCCCCCCCCAATTCATACCAGGCCCTTTTGGCTCTGGTATGGATTTTTAGGGGAACCCCTTGCCAAAATGAAAAAAAAAGCGTGGGGCCCCTAATATCCATGCAAGGTCCTTGTCTGAGCATGCAGCCTGGAGGTCAGGAAAGGGGGAATGAGAAAGCACCCCCCCCACCTAAGCCATACTACGCCATATGCCCTGAAGCAACTTGTGTCCATGCTGATGAGGACAAGGGCCTCTTCCCCACAACCCTGGCTGGTGTTTGTGGGGGTGCAGGGGGGTGACCTATCAGAATCTGGAAAACCCCTTTGACAAGGTGGCCCCCAGCTTCCACCCCTCCATGTGAATTAGTATGGGGTCCATACTAAAGATGCGGTGGTTGATGATGTCATAAGGTGACATCATCAAGTGGCCCCACTCCTTAGTTTATTTAGGGGCTGTCAGGCGGCGGGAGCCAGCATCAGGCGCAGAGCTCTTTTTTTTTTTTTTTCCCAACCACGGCATGTTTAGTATGTACCCATACACCTTCACATGGGGGGCAGGATCTGAGGGTCCCCTTGATGCACAAGGCTTCCAGATTCTGATAAGGCCCCCCCACAACCATCAACACGGACAAGGTGCTTTAAGGGGAGACCCTACCTGCCTCAAAGCACCCCCGGAGGGAGTCCAATGTTGAGGGCCTGTGGCCTGGTATGGTTCAGGTTGCATGCTCGGATAAGGGTTTAATATGGATTTTTGGGTAGGAAACCACTCCATTTTCTTTTTGTTGTTTTTTTTAATTTTTGGTGTGGGATTCCCCTTAAAATTTAGACCATGGGGGGGGCACGCTGTTTTTTTTTTTTCCCTAAATTTTTAATTGCCAGCAGTTGTTTTGTTTTCATTCAGCTGTCACCAGGGCACGTTAAGCTGGTTGTTAAGGACGTGGTGGCTGCCTGCTCCTTAACAACCAGCTTAAAGTCACACAAAATGCAACATGCATCTGAAATGCAACACTTTACTGCATTTAGGTGCAGTTCCATTCAAGTCTATTACATGCAAAACACAATTTGCTGAAGAAAAAAAAGAAAAAAAAGTGGCTGACCCTTTGAAAAATCTACAGCTCAAAATGAACAGTGAATGATGTGAACTAGATCCATAGGAACCATGTTAGAGGGACAGCAGTGCATTTCTGTAAACGCATTACGTCCATAGCTCTCTGCAATGCAAGAACCCAGAAGAGACAGCCGGCTCCTGATGATGTACCAAAGGAAGATGGTGGGACCCGGGGTACATCAGACAATGCTGGATTCACTGGGATTGTATGTGTGAGGACAACCCAGGGGACAAGGTATGGCAGGCCATAGATGATGCAATTTTCTTTCCTGCAACCACAGGGTGCTGGAAAGCAAATCACTCAATTCCCCCATTATACAGTCAGTGTTGATGGTGAGAATCCCTCCCTCAGAGCTATTGTTTTCTCCCGGCGGGGGGGGGGGGGGGGGGGGGGGGGGGGGCTCGTCCCTGCTCTGAGAACTCAGTGATTATTGCTAGCAACTATAGCCATTGGCATTAATCACATGTAAAAATCTGACATTCTAGTTGTACTGAAGTCGATCAATGGATCAACTTCAGTACAACCAGTCTGCCCATGGAAGGTTCAAATCGCAGCCAGTCCCTGCTGAACCATCTATAGCTGGCTTAGGAGGGAACTAAAAATAATGAAGAAATTGGGGTGAAATTCATCTTTAACCACTTAAAATGTTAGTAAACCCTGAACCCTGCATTCACTATATCTGGTCTTCCCAGACCCTGCATTCACTATATCTGGTCTTCCCAGACCCTGCATTCACTATATCCGGTCTCCCCGGAGTCTGCATTCACTATATCCGGTCTCCCCGGAGTCTGCATTTACTATATCCACTCTCCTCGGACCCTGCATTCACTATATCTGGTCTTCCAGGACCCTGCATTCACTATATCTGGTCTCCCAGGACCCTGCATTCACTATATCCGGTCTCCCCGGATCCTGCATTCACTATATCCGGTCTCCCCGGATCCTGCATTCACTATATCCGGTCTCACCGGATCCTGCATTCACTATATCCGCTCTCCCCCGGACCCTGCATTCACTATATCTGCTCTACCAGGACCCTGCATTCACTATATTTCCTCTACCAGGACCCTGCATTTACTATATCCACCACTCTCCCCGGACCCTGCATTCACTATATCCGCTCTCCCCGGACCCTGCATTCACTATATCTGGTCTCCCCGGACCCTGCATTCACTATATCTGCTCTCCCCGGACCCCGCATTCACTATATCTGGTCTCCTCGGATCCTGTATTCACTATATCTGGTCTCCCTGGACCCTGCATTCACTATATCCGCTCACCCCGGACCCTGTATTCACTATATCTGGTCTCCCAGGACCCTGCATTCATTATATCTGGTCTCCCCGGACCCTGCATTCACTATATCCGCTCTTCCCAGACCCCGCATTCACTATATCCGGTCTCCCCGGACCCCGCATTCACTATATCCGCTCTCCCCGGACCCTGCATTCACTATATCTGGTCTCCCCGGACCCTGCATTCACTATATCTGGT